AACATAGCTAGACTTTGTACCTTTACAGAGCAGAAAATAAATGTATTTATATAGTGAAGTAAAAATCCCACATTAAGAAATAATAGAAATAATTTCTAAGCAAACCACAGGTATGGGGACATCTACCAGTCCCTCTGATAACTGCAGGATATTTGAAGTTTACTTTTCTTAGTTGATTAGAGTTTGTAGGAACTTCTAATTATGTTGCTTAACCAAAAATCAACACCAAAATGGTTAACAAAAAAGAAAATGAGCAAATATTTGTTTGATTTTTAAGACACATGGGATGGATTGAAGAGGAAATCATGTTATTGGCACACTCCAAACTTCTGAAATGTTATAGAAGAGAAATAAGTGCTGTAATAACCAAGGATGACAAAGTTAATTCATTAATCTATAAACTCCCTGTATGTTAACATGACATTTCCCTCAATAACTAAATGCACAGTAAGTAAAATGTGTACTTTTCCAAATAAAATTAAAAAAAAGTAAGGCCTTCTTGAAATCTTTACCAGAACTGCCTATAAATGTGGCCGGCACTGCTTGTGTAAATTGTTACCATTCTGCCGATGTTCAGCCCAGAAATGTTGGGCTGCCTTCCTATGGCCCACAAAAGACACTCCACTTCCTCAATGGTGCTGATCTTCTCATCGTTCTTCTTCTCTGGGTCTTTGGTAACAATCGTCACCTCAAGACCTTTGTCGGTCTTACTCACAGATTTCACCTGAGAGTTCTTCCACAGGTCGATGCCGTTGTTTTGGAGTTCTTTGGTGCAATTTGCGCTTATGAATGCATCAAAGTTTCTCAAAACCTACAGAGAGAGCATTCACAACTTGTAGCACGGTCATAGATTGTAGGAACGTCACTGTTTCATAAGTTTGGTCTGTTTCTTACTCCTGTTTGTCGAATGACAAGGGATGTTTTGGATCCCAGGGTGGCTAGGATGCCAGCCATTTCTACAGCAATATAGCCAGCGCCTACAATCACATTGCGCCTAATGAGGAAAAAGATTCTTATTTCCAGATAACTACAGCAGCCAAAAATCTTTTTAAAACATATAAAACCTTACTTTGGAAGGGTTTCAAGTTCAAAAAAACCATCACTACTAATGCCAAGACTTGCACCTGAAATTAGAACACAAAAATGTTTAAATGTTAAGTTCAAGATTTTCAAAACAAGTTCTCATCACCATTCCAACCTGGAACTTCTTCATCACTCAGAACAGAAGGCTGACCCCCGGTGGCTATGAGGATGTGAGGCGCTGTCAGTTTTCTACCATTGACCTCCACGGTGGGCTCAGGGTCATCTGTAAATCTGGCGTAGCCTTGTATCATTTCGATTTTAGCCTGGAAAACATCAGCAAGAACTACAACATGAGGCCATGTTACATTTATTTATCTTTTTATTATGGGGAAAAAAAAATAAATAAATAAACAACAGATGAAATAATTCTAACTTGCCACAAAAATTGTAGGCTAAACATTGACAGATGATAAACTCACTTTGTCCAGGTTGTTGCGATAAATCTGGTTCAGGCGAGAAACGTAAGCGTCCCTTTTGGCCTTAAGAGTCCTGCAAACACAAATAAATAAGTTAGTTGCATAAGAGACAAAACTCTTTGTCCTGAGAGGTAAACATAACAAATCAACCTTTAACCTGGAACCTGTCAGATATTAAGTTAGAAATGAGGGGGGTGTATTATTCTCTCTGAACACGCCTCGTTTAATTTATTGAACCTCTGTTAGTGTTGCAAAGCTTGGAGGGATTTCTATTGTATGGCAGTAGAACAGTAGCTTATAATCCAAATTGAGTACTATTCATCTCTCAGACATAAATGTGAATAAAGATGGAGGTTTGGGTTCATGAAATTCTTTTAAAACCTGTTGCAATTACATCTTCGCACAAACGTTGACTTTTCCTTTCCTTATGTTGCAGAGTATAGAATCAGTGATAGATTTCTGATTTATATTTCTCATGGTATCGTTCATTTTTCTTTTTAGGAAAACCTTTACGTTTTTTTTTTACTTTCCTCCACTCTTCCATGTAATTTACATAAACAGCAGTGGAGTTGAAATGGAAGCATATTGAGGGAAACACCTTAAGTTTGCTCATGTCGGATAATAACACTCCTTACATAGATCTTTCTTTAACGGTCATGATGACTCAACTAAGCTCTGTGCAAACAGAGAAGTGGGCAAAAGAGACCAAAAAAAAACTACAAAAAAAAAAACAAAAGAGCATTCAAGCCAGGAATTGTGCTTGTGAAAGAACACTGATTTCTTTCAATAACGTCCCTCCAAGCTTTCAAAAGAGCTCATTGCAGCTGACCACAAAAAATTGATCCAGAGACAGAACAGACAGTGAAACTTACTCCCAACTGAAATGAACTTTTTCAGTTGCAAAGCCATAATCGCTGTGATCGTGCAGATACTCAGCATGAACTGCTGCATTCCACATAACCTGTGAAAACACAAAAAGATGGTCTGATTTAAATTTCTTCAGACTAATAGTCCAAACATGACCAATCGCATGAGTAAGAGAAAGTAACTACCTTTTTAGGAACACATCCAACGTTGACCTGGGAAAATATTAAAACAAGCATATAAATGTCATGCAATCTGAGTAAACAATTTCTAAATGCATGTGAAAATTAAAAGACAATATATTTAAGCAATGTGGATTTATTTACACTATAATGTACTTGAGAGTATAAAGAACAAGGAGTCAGTGTTGGCTTAAAGCAAAACTGGACAGAAAAAAGAGAATTATATCATGCAACAAATCCAAACCCGCAAACAGGAATTTATCAAATAAATTAGCAGAGGCACTTCTAAACTCAAAAGCAAAGCAAACAAATAATCTAGAGCAGGAGTCTGGACTTTTTCAATTTTAAATAAATGTACATATCGCTGAATAACTGGCATCCCTTATGAAATATTAAAGTGAATAAATTGATGGTGACTAACCTACAACCTTTACATTGCAAAAAGGACTACTCTATCCACTGCCACAATTAATTAATTAATCAATGTTAATTAATTAAACTTAATGTTTTTTGGGCTGTTGGACTGGGGTGATGAAATAAAATAAACTGAAGAAGAACAGGAAGGAACAAAAGTATATTTTAGTAATTACAATATTAAAATAATGAGCAAAATAAAAGTTCAACATGTTTACTTAGAAACAGAAACAGCATCCACACTATCATTTCCAGTTCTCACAGTTGACTAGTTATAGTAATTTATTTAATGGCAGAAAATATAATTCCCTCGGGTTAATTAAGATATGGTGTTTTATGGTGGATTAGAGACTCGCGGCATGCCAGAACGCTAGATAATAATAATAATAATAATAATAATAATAATAATAATAATAATAAT